ATCCAGGTGCCCAAATGAATCCTTAAGACAATCATAAGAATAATCTAGCCCGGAATGGTAAATAACATATATTGCTAACCCCAGACCTGTAGCACAAAAAATCTTTAAACCCTAAGGGTCCAAGTACCCATTATTTATGGACTTTGGGGCCTTTTGTGGTACCTAAAGCCCATAAATCAGAAGTCAGCCTGGGACCCGGAGCTATCAGCCCCAGGCTCCTCAAGATCCCCCAGGCCGAAATCCTCAAGATCATTAGGGCTTAGGGTTTATAGGGTTTAGGGTTTAGGGTTCAGGGTATAGGGTTTAGGGTTTATGGTTTATAGGGTTTATAGGCGGGGGGGGACGTGGCCCCGGTCACGCCCCCACTGGTGGTATCTTGGCATGCTCTTTCGTGTGCTTGCTTTCTGGGCTTTTGTTTTTGTTTGGATGTCGAGGTGGCGGGCAATGTGGTCGAGCCTCCGGACTATTTCCACGACCTGCTGGTTGTCCACGGCCCCTTTACCCTTCCCCCTCAACCCTCCCTTCCACCCCCACCACAAGCTCCACTCCCCTTCACCATCTACCACGCCAACGCCGCCCCCTCCACCTCCCCTCCAACCCTCAACAATCCACCATCTGTCAGTGACTCAGTGGTTTGGGTTTGTTGTGTTGGGTTGGAGTCTGCTGTGCAGCTGTCTTTCTTTGTGAGGCCACATACCTGGACCACCTCATCGCGGCTTCTTGGACGCAGTCTTTGGGTTGTTTTTGCTTTTGTGGCTGTGGCTGATGCTTTGGATCAGGCGCAGCTCGACGTCTTTTCGCCCGAGCCCCTGCCCCCGGTGGTGGTGGGCTTAGCTTTGGGGGGTGGTGCTCCTTGGTCTTGCGGTTTAGGCTTCGTTTTGTTTTTGCGTGAGGAACTCGCATCCGGCTCCTCCGACGTCCCCGTTCCTTGGTTCTTGTGCTCTGAGTTTTCCTCTGCTTGTGTTTTTGTCCGTGCATTCGTGTTTGTGCATCCGAGGTCATGATCCACCCGGACGGGGACGAGAATGAGCGCCGTTTCTGGGAAGAGCTGCTGGCGGAGGTGGGGGGCGAGTCTGGTGCAACTTGGGCGGGTGAGAGAGAGGTTTTTTTGTTGATTCCTTCCCTGGCAGGAGCCGAGGCCGAAGAAGCCTCGCAAGGCCTACGACATCGACCGTCAGCCCTGCGATATGTGCCACAAATGCGCACTTCAGCGTGCCAAGGGCTCCTTGGCTTACTTTGGGATTGGGTTTTTGTGGTTGGGTTTGGTCTTGATGGCTGGGTTCTTGGTTTGGGCGTTGGGGGGTTCCTGGGCTTGCGTTTGGGTCGGGTTTCTGTGGCTTTGGCTTGGCCTTGATGGCTGGGTTCTTGGCTTGGGCCTTGTGGGTTTTCGGAAAGCGCTGTGCTCGTCCCCTGAAGGTCAGCCGATCCGCAAGGACCGATGTGTACAGCTTGTGCCTCGCAATCGTATCTTTCGACAACTCCGCCGAGCCCGGCGGGCTGCGCCTAAGGCGAGTCCAAAGGGCAAGGCGGCAGCTAAAGCCAAGGCAAAGGCCAAGGCGAAAGCCAAATTTTACATGAACTTGCGCAAGTAGTTGTAATTATTGTTTGTGGCGTGTTTATCTAATTACGTAAAGCGCAAATCAGTGATCGGGATCCTTTTAGCTAAAGTTAGTTCTAGTTAGGTACATCCTTTAGTGACGACTGTGCTGTTTGGCTTTCGTCTTTTTGCTGCAAGTCTGGCCGTTTGCCGCTGGCATGCATGCCTTGTTTCACCTTTTTCAACCTTTACAAAAAAGTTTTGGTTTCCCAGTCCACTCACTGTGTAGGTTCTTTGAGAACTGTAGGGAGTTGTCATAGTAGGCACACCACAACTAAACTAGCGATGCCATGTCATCATTGCTTAGTCAAATTGTTGTGTTATTGGACTGGGAAACCCTGGGGCCGGCTGCGTCTTTTGTGGAGCTGCTCATTTCCCTTTTTCCTGGGTTTAGTTGTTCTTTGGGGCTACCTGTGGGTTTTGGTCGAGTTGAGTTCGGGCGTAGCATCAAGCTTTGTTTTGGAGGGAGGGGGGGAACTGCAGCTCCACAAACGTAGCAACTTGCGGGTCGGTGTGTCGGAGCGAAGCTCTGCTTCCAGATGCCGAGACACACCGACCCGCATGGGTTCCTTGGATGGACAGCCTGTAGTTGAGTCCTTATGTTTGGTTGTATTTGGATGTGTTTCGGTCTTGCTTAGGGGGGTGAAGTAGTGGCTTTGAAGTGTCCGTAGTCTTTTTTTTGGGTTGGGTAGCTGTCCATCTGTGTTGCCTCACGGGCCGTGGGCTTCCTTCCCATGGGTTTGGTTTTGGGTTAATAGGTTAGGTGTGTTCAGTAGGCAAGCGGGTAGGCAGATCGGTGCAGTCGTGAATAGCCGGGTCTGTTGCACGGGTATCTTATTCTTGCTGGTTTTTGTTAGGGGTTGTTTCTGTTGGTTGTTTGCTAGTTTTTTTTCGCCTTTGGGAAGGGGCCCTGCGGGATGCGCTCCGTTAATGCGTGGCCCAGTTTCACTTTGTACAGGCACTGGCACTGGAATTCGTTTTAGTTTTTGTTTGAATTCGTTTTGCTTCTTTTGATTGCCGAGCGCCTAACACCAGCATCGGTGGCTCGGGGGCTGGGGCCGGCAGGGTTTTTTAGGGTTTATAGGGTTTAGGGTTCAGGGTTTAGGGTTAGCAAACAAGTGCGACAAGCACATCCCAAAGACCAAGGCACAACAACCAAGCTCCGAAACCTGCCCCACAATCGACCCTAGGCCCTAAGGCCGCAAGCGTTTAAGCCCTAAGCCTATAAACCCCGAACCATATGTCCTAAAATGGTGTAACTAAAGCCCTTCGAGCCCAATACAATACTCCATTAGTAAAGGACCTCTTCTTATCAAGCCACAAGAGCCTGCATAATCATTGAAACCCCAAAGCCCTAAATCCTGTAAACCGTACACCATAAACCCTACACCCTAAACCCTCAATGCTATAAACCCTGCAGGCCCTTTGAAGCCTCAAAGCCATGAAGCCCTGAACCCCCTAAGTCCTATGAGCCTTGTTGGCCTTTTAAACCTTCAGCCAAACCCAGCTGTGCTAGCAAAAGCCCTGCAAGCCCCATATTGAACCCTTTAAGCCCTAAAGCCCTAAAGCCTGGACCCTAAACCCTAAACCCTAAACCCTAAAACCCTAATCCCTAAAGCCCTAAACCCTGAAACCCTGAACCCTAAAACCCTAAAGCCCTAAACCCTAAAACCCTGAACCCTAAAACCCTAAAACCATAAACCCTAAAACCCTAAGACCCTAAAGCCCTAAACCCGAAAACCCTACAGACCCTCATGTGCCGGCTTCATGTGCCGGCTTCGTGTCCTTGCGACGGGCCTGGTTCTGCTCGCCACCTTTTCTCTCGTGCCTGGTCGTTTGCTTTAAGAGCTTTAGGGGTTCTGGGGTTTCGTGTTTAGGGGTTTAGTGTTTAGGGGTTTCGAGTTTGGGGTTTAGGGAGGGCATAAGGGTGCCTTGAGTACTATTAAGGAGGGCTCCCATCTTTTCTCTCGCGCCTGGTCGTTTGTTTTAGGGCTTTAGGGGTGTGGGGGTGCTCCTGTTAGAAGGGGTATCACCAGGGTTCCTCTAAGAGCTTTTTTCGAAGTGTTCCTTTAAAGGGGTTCCTTTAAAGAGTTCCCTTTATGGACTTAGGGCTATGAGAAGTTAAGTGTTGAGAGCTCCAGGGGTTTCGGGTTTTCTTTTGAAGGTGTCCTCTCGGGTTTCCATAAGGATGCCTCTTAGAGTCTGAAGAGTTTAGGTGGACTTTCGAGTTTTGGGCAGTGATTTGAGATTTTCTGGGGTTTGGGGTCTGGTTAGGGGTGGGGCTTTAGACTGCAGGGTCCATTCAATATTCGTGTGTCTTTGCAACATAGTAATGTGTCACCGAAACGAAGGAATAGAAGCTGCTCCCACTGCTTGATATCGTCCAGGCGACTGACTGCGGCCCTTAATTGTAAACCATAAAGCCCATCTACACCCTAACCCTCAAAGCCTAAACAAAGCCCTAAGCCCTACAACCCTAAACCGTAAAATTCTGAGGACTGAACCTCTCAGCAATAAGCTCCAGGTAATTCTGCAGCATGCACTGACAAGACCGGCATGCCCCATCGTGGAGCCCGTTGCTCCCGCTGCCTCTGTTGCTACAGCTCCGCCAGCAGCCTCCGGGTATCTGTTAGGATACTTGAAATATGGGAAAAGCTTGTTTACATGTTTTAGACCGGGCGAACATAAGGTTCCACTCAAACATCAGTGAGTGTAGATGTTGGGTTTTGTCATGGGCATGCTTCTAATAATGCCCTGCATAGGCCCTGCATCGCTTATGCCCTGAGGTGCTATGACCTGTATTGGGGGGGTGTTTGATTGGACTTTATTAGTCTTGGTTTAGAACACTACTTCACGATCGCAGGGTCGGGATATCGCAACGAAGAACTATGTTGATTTAGATTGGTTCCCGGACACCCTTGAACCTTAAGCTTTAAATCCCAAGCCTTCATAGCACTCTCCGGCCGAAGATCTTAACCCGAAATACTTGTCCGCTTAGCCTTAAGGCCCGTGATTACATCGAACTCTTTCAAGCCCCAAACCATATCAATAAAATCGTCAGGCCTTTCTGTAGAGCCTTTCAGCCCTTCAGCCAAAGCCCAGGCTTTCGAGGTGGCCACTGCAGAGGTTCCCGCGGCCACTGCAGCGAGATCTCCGGTGTGTGTGGGGCCGAGATTGCACCTTGGTGTAATATCTTCAGCGTCTCCTAGCATTTTTAATTTAAAGGGGCTCTTTTGGGCTACTATACGGGCTACTGTTTAGGTGTCATATGTTCAGCGTCTCCTACTCTTTTCTGGCTCCTTGAAAGTGTTCTTTTGGGCTCGTACAAGGGCTAGTATGGGGGTGATGTATAGGGGCCTGAACACCTACCTATATAAGTCCGGCATTAAGGTTTTGCGGCACGGGGGTCCCAAGTACCCAAACAGCAGTCTTTAGGCAACGAAAACCCGGTCGAAGTGTAAGATCTGGGCCTAGGGCGGAGTTTTTGATTTTTGCTACCAGATCACATAAACTCATGAAGCCCGCGATCCCTGCTCGTAGGGACCTGATTGACCTGTAAGAACTCTTAAACCCCAAGCGCAAAGCCCTGCAGCTAAGCCGCTTCACCAAAAAAACAACATGTAAAATAAGCCCTATAAGCTCGAACACTCTAAAGCCCTAAAGCCGTAAACTAGACGGGTCAGTGCATTTCCGAGAGCGGTCCCAAGGATTCTACACGTGGGACCACACAAGACCGGAACGACGGCCTTTCAGGATTTTATTGGGTTTGGGGATTTAGGTTTTAGGGTTTAGGGTTCAGGGTTTAGGGTTTAGGGTTAAGGGTTGAGGGATTTAAGATTAAGCTACCATAGTAAGGAAGCCATCTTATTTACAATAGATCCCTACTATGGTATCTTAAATCATATTCCTTAACACTAGAGATCCCTATTATGGTGACTTAAATGTAAATTCCTTCGCAAGAACGACGCTTAGGGTTTCGGGTTTGGGAGTTTCCGGACCGAGGGCTCTAGGGTTGTTTATGCTTAATTTTTGCGGGGGGGTTCTAGGGTCTACCAGGGTTTAGCCATTTTACGGGTTTAGGGTTTAGGGCCTTCCAGGGTTTAGTGATGTTTAGGGGTTTAGGAGGTTAGGTTGCAGAGTTTTGTCGGTTATGGCTGTGGGGCTTTCGGGTTTAGGGTTTAGGGTTTTGACAGTTAAAGTTTAGGGTCAGGAATCAGGCCAAGGATATACGTGCTAAGGATTTAGGCGGTAGGACAAGCCGTATAAGATATGGGAGGGTTGGTCGAAGCCGCATGCTCCAACTTCATTTGCCATTATTGCATTACCGCAAGAACACACAAACGCAGGTGCCCGAGCGAGTAAGGACAGCACTCATGTAACTCGATCTAGACCTTTGTAAAAAGGTATGAAAACCTTGCGCAAACGCGGGCGCAAAGGGCAATAAATGGTCCGCCGTCGGAACAATAGTTTCGATCAGTCCCTACATGCGGCTCAGGATATGAGTGGGGTTTCGCTTTCCGTACGTGTTAGGCCATTTTGTTTTTGACTGGGTTCAAGTAAACCCTATAAACCCTAAACCCTTTAAACCGAAAGGGTCGCTCAAAGCAAACAGGCCTCAAGACATTTGTCCGTCAAGCCTTGGGTTGGAAACGCCTGTACGGCCTAATTATCAGTTTTGTGACTTGAGAAGTGTCGTCAGTAGTCTTTTTGGGGTTTCCGTAGAAAGCTCATAGCAAAAAGCCACCCAACTACCCTTGTGCAACTTGTTTGCGCCCCCCCCCTCCCAACATATTAAGCATGTTTTTGCCGAAGCCCTGCGCCCTTTCCCCCAGGAGTTTCTCATCAAGCACGCCGACTGGCTCAAGGAGGAGTTTGGTGTAACTGTGGGCTTTCGCGAAGCCAAGGAAGGTGCAGGAAAGCTGAACCACATCATGAGCAAGTACCGGCAACTGAAGGGGATCATACATTCCAAGGCTGAGATCTTGAAGAGGCCACTGGCGTAGAGCGCAGGTTTTTGGTTTTGCACAGTGCCATTTCGACGGCCATATCGAACCCTAAAGAAAGGCAAGCTGAAGCCCTATAAACCCGATAAACCCCAAACGTAAGCCCCGGCCCCAAGCTGCAAACCCTATACTACCAACATCTATCAACCCGACCAGCCTTAAGCCCTAAACAGGTTGGAAGTCGCAGTCCGCTTCACAAAGGCGGACTTGCAGCGATCTTCCTTGGTACTGGTCTCTGCCGAAGGATACAGCCAGTTCGATGCTGAGATGTGGAAGCTCGGGATTGAAGGGTTGGTTTAGGTTTTAGGGTGTTGGGGTTTGGATTAGGGGCAGTCAGGATTTGAAGAAGCAGTCTTGAGTCGTAAGGGCTTTACCGGATTTACATTTTAATTTCAATAGGTGTTATCGGTCTTTTGTAGAGTTGTTGCAAGGGTGTTCAAGCGGTTGTCTTTGATACTTTGATTCAATTTAGTCCTCTAGGGTGTCATCTAAGGAATTTAAGGGCTGTGTAAGAGCGTTATCACTAGGGTCCAAAGGATTCAAGAACCAGGTAATTGGGCTTGGGATAGCAAGCTGTACAGCTGAGTGTTTTGGTGTGTATATGAGTACTAGGCAGTTTGACCCTTAGGGCTACGGGGATGTCATAGAGTATCTTAGACTTAGGCGCACCTTTGCGAGGGGTCGTTGTAAGCATATTCAGTATCCGCTAATTCAGGGTCGATATGAGGGTCCTTCATTTTCGACCAACCCGATATTCGATAGCAAAGAACTGGGCTCGCTTCCTCACCGCATTAGAATACTACCAGACGCTGAACTCACACAGTTTAACCTTGGACGGTGGCTCTCACGTAGCTACATACATATTTGTATGTACCTGTTCACACAGAAACATGCACACACATCCATCCATCCATGCATGCATCCGTCCATCCATGCATGCATGCGTACGTACATGCATACATACAGACTCATATGTAGACAATTGCCGGTCACCCTGACTAACCTGCTCCTGATTCCGCCACTCGTGACGACCTAGAGTCGCATGGCAAACTGCCTCAGCCGAAATGTCCCTTCTCAGCAGCCCGAAACCCGTAAGCCCGAACTTGAAGGGAGCTCTGCAAACCCGTAGCACCAGCTTTAAGCCATAAATGGGCCATAAACCCAACAGAGCCTTACCAACCTTGGCCCATTCAGCCCTGAGCTCAGGTTTGAAGCCCTAAATCAAGGCCCTATACATCCCAAAGGTTTCGGGTTTTTGGGTTTAGTGTGCCCCGAACACCGCAAAAGCAAGGACATTCTTCAAGACACTGTTTGACGCAGATGTGTGCTTCTCTGTAGTCGCTCTTCACCGGGAGCCCACATCCTGGATAGCAGCTGGGCTGTACGGTATAGGCTTTTTTGTTGGGGTCCAGGGGTTAGGTTTAGGGTGTCTTGTCATAGCAGGTTCTCCTATTGAAAATACAGTTACGGTTCTGGTATTGCCCCTGTAGCTCCTTAGCTTTTTGGGGCAGTTCTTTGCGTTGTTCCTACTCTCTTGCTGCTTTGGGTGTTGTGTTTCTCAGGTTTTTTGTTTGCTTATGGAGAACATGTTTCCACTGCAAGTTCCGGCTTTCTGTCTCTGGTGGCTCGCAGAAAATATTTCCGATTGAACTAGAAGTTGAGACTTCGTCTCCTTGGTGGCCCCGTGTTGCTTCCGAGACCAGGCATCCATGTGGGTGCAGATCAGCAAGATGAGCAGCGGCTTGGAGCGCAGGGTTTAGGGGCTTAGATGGGCCGGCTAACACCCGACCCCAAGCCTTTTTTGTCCGGGTTTGTGTGCTGCATGTTCGTGTTCGAGGTTTAGGACCCCGGAATTCTTTAGCTGTATTGGCCTGACCCACTGTATTTTAAGAAACGAAAGCTGTTAGGTCCATGGGCCTTATAGCACATCGTGTGGCGGAATCCTCGTGGGTCTAAGGTTTCAGGAGATCCGTGTGCTGTTGGAGATCTTTACGTTCGTACGAACTTTAGGGTTTAGGGTTTAGAGTTTAGGGTTTAGGGTTATGGGACGAAGGTACGAACCTGCAAACCTGGAAGTCTTTTCTTGCAGCAATCGCTGGAGCGGCAACTCCAGATGAGCATGGGGACACCGACCTTCAGTTGCAGCTTCTGAACACACTGACCGCGCAGTTCCCTGATGCAGTCGATGCAGCATCCTACGAATACCTGAAGGAGGTGACGTGGCGTTTCTACTAAGGTCCTCTGGGGCTTGGGCTGTTTAGGGTTGAGGGCTTATGTTCTGAAAGAGTCCTAAACCTCAGTCCAGACCTTAAAACCCTAAACCCTAAACCCTAAATACTTCAGGTGAACTGCAGCATTGCAGCCTACGTCATTTGCAACGCCACTCTCCGCCGGACAGGGCAGTCATGGGTCAACTGCAGAGATACCCTGAATGGCAAGTCGGCGAAGAGCAACTGGGTCATATAGGATTTTAGGGTTTAGGGTTTAGGGATTCCTAACCCCCCCAGGTACCTACTGTATAGGGCCTTAGGGGCTCTAGTACCCTATAGTAGGTACCTGGGGGGTTAGGGATTCATTACAGGGTTGATTGTGGGGGTAGGGTTTAGTACAGGGTATTACGGGTTAAACGTTGTAGGGATTTGGGAGTATCCTGACTGTACTGTCCACCCCGCCAACTTTTTCCAGCACCGCCCCTGCTCAAACCGTACACACTCCCAAATGCGGCAACACCCAAACAGCAGGCAAAAACACGTCGCCGCCCCATGCAGCTGTGGATGTGACAATTCTGGCGAGGAACTTCTACCTCGCGAAGCAGGCGACTGAAAGTGGCTTTTTAGTAAGGATGATTCTGTCTTTCTTGGGGTTCCTATGAAGGTGCAGGGTTCTATAAGGCATACTATGAGGGGTTTAGGGCCAGTTGAGGGTGAGATGCCAAAGAGTTTGAGAACCCATGACCCAAAGATGTTGCAACAAACAGGCTCTTCAACAATGTCACGGTGTAAGCTCGATGCCTATGCAATAAGTATGAAGATCAAATCCATTCGAAGCCTATGCAACGCCCAAGCCCGGAGCCCTAGAAGCCCTGAGACCTGAGCCCTGCAGAACCCGATGAGCACCAAGCGAAACTCTCTGAAGCCCTGCGGCCCAGCGTAAATGCCGTAATTTCGATAAACTCAAACCCCCGTCCAGCCCTTAATCCCTGAATCCTGAACACTAGTAGTCAGCTACAAAGCCGAGGGTCTAGGATTGAGGGCTGCAGGGTTGAATGTAGACTCAAACCCTGAACCCTACAGCCCTGTAAACCCATAGACCCTAAACCCTGCGAGCCCCACACCCACGCAACACCTATTCGGAAACATCGTCGATTGAAAGCCTACATGGCGGATAAGCTCGAGTTGCTGAGTGAACCCAACGGAAATGTCAAGCAGGTGTGCCTCTCCTTGAGCCCCGAATGCTTGGACTCCCTACATCCCAAAACCACAATCCCGGGTACCACTTCTGAATTGCCCTGTAAAACTCTCATAAACCCTTTCAGAGCCTTAAACTCTTAAGCCTTTGAATTTCCATAAATCACCCTATATACCATCAAAATAGAAACCTTATAAAGTCCCAACTTCTTAAACCTAAATTAGCCTATGCCACCCTCCTAGCCCCCACATAAAGCCTTAAAGTTTCAAACTACTTAAATTGCGCTGCAAACTCTTGCAGACCCCTGGAAAAGCCCTAAACCGGCAGGCGATGAATGCGACAGCCTGTAAAAAGCCCTGGCCCGACTTCACAGCTGGCTCCGAAGGGGCAGTGATCCTTGGGTCTAAAATTTAAGTTTTAGGGTTTAGCGGTGTAGGGGTTTAGGGTTTAGGGTTGAGGGGCTTAGGATCAAAGTAGGTTGGTCAAAGCTTGCTTTAGTTAGGTCGGAATGTCATCTTTGTGTCGTAATGTGGCTGATGTGTGCTGACGACATTGTTGTCTGTGTTAGGTGTAGGGTTTTAGGTTAGGGCTTTAGGGGAGTGTTGATCCTTGCATTGGTTTTGTCGTCCTTCAGCCCTTTACTATCCGGTACGCCAAACCCTATTCCCATGATCTGCGGGTTGTAGTGTGCTGGTTAGCCATGTGATCCTCAGTGATCTGCTTTGCTCGATTCTACTAGGTGTGTTCTTTCAATTTCAGCTCCTTCGGTTTAGGAATTTCGGATGTTAGAAATCGGAGTGTCTCTCCTACTGTGCGTTGTTGTACATCTTTTTGGGGAGGTTTAGGTTTTATGATGTTTCGGCTTGACAGGTTCAGAGTCTCGGCTTCGTATTGCTCTTTGAGAATCGTCCCACCAAGCAAGTACAAGGTAATACAAGGCCAGCCGGAAGACATGAATGCAGTATCAGAGCTGTAGCAATTGGGGGTTTCAGGTTTTTTTATGGTTAGGGCCTATACCCTAAACCCTAAACTCTAAACCCCCTAAACCCTAAAGAGTTTAAGGTGGTCGTCGGTGCACGTTGCAACTGTGGTTCCGTTCCGAGGATCCCTTCTGAGCCGGCAGTGATGGAGGTTGCCAAGCAGATGCCCTTAGTTTGCGAAGACATGGACGGACTCCCGGCGCCAATGAAGGTTTAGGGTGTAGGGTTTAGGGGACGGACTCCCGGCGCCGATGAAGGTCAGGTTTCAGGTTTACGGCCAGGGTTCAGGGTTTAGGAGGTGTGTTTTTTCTTGGTTGTGTGGTCTTCAGGGCTTGCAGGGTTTAGGATAACTATGGGGCTCTAGCAGGGACTTAGAAGACTTTACACAGGAGGTGATGTAAATCCGGACTTTCAGGTTCATGCCACCAGTCTGGAGCCCTGAAAACCGCCAAGGCTGCTGTTGTTGTTGCTGTTGGAATGTTCGTGCCTTGGGGTCTACAACCGTCCGTGTGAGGTTTGGCCCTAATCCTATTTCTAAATGCTGAATCCACTATACGTTGGATTAGCCTCCTGCCAACCACAAAGAAACTCTAGTCAACAATACATTTTTTACCCAACGCCCCTCTAAACCTTGAAGCCCCAGACGGAGACCTCAAACACGAAGCCCCGGTGTAGACCCATAGGACCACAGGGCAGCCTAGAACCAACCTGGAACCCGAAAGGTCCAGAAATCCTAAAACTTCAAACGCTAACAAACAAGCAAAAGCTTTCATTGGGGTTCAAGGTTTAGGGGTTAGGGTTTAGAGTTTAGGATAGAGCCAGGGTCCTTATTTCAAAAGACCCTAAACCCTCAGCTCCAACTACGTCCAAACTCCACAACCAGCAAAGCATTTTATTTTACGAAACCCGGTAGATTCGTAGAACTCCCTACAAACCAACATTATAAAAGCCCAGAAACTCGTATAATACCAGTATGGAATACCGCTATAAACTCCGCAAAGACTATATATAGCAGACGGTTAAACGATCATACTCTGCTATCTGGTTATGCTTTCTGTATATCTGCATGTGTATATACATATATAGTTTAGTGTGATTACAAGACAGCACTAGCACTATATTATAAGAAAGTCGGCAGGTCTCTTTGAGCCCCAGACAGCTGCATGGTTCGCGCGTACCGCTGCACAGAGGCCACAGCGTGGCTCGTAGCCTGGCAGAAGCATCTGCGCGGGCTTAGAGTGTATACGGTTTAGGGTTAGGGGGGTGTCGAGGGTTGGTGTTTGGGGTTTGTATGTTGGGCTACTACAGTGGCCTCGTCTAAAAAACAATTTAAAAGCGTGTGTGTGTGTATATATATATATATTCATATGTATGTAAATTTGTTGTTTTATACATGTACGCATGTACTTATGTGCGTCTTCGCTCATACTCATGTGATTATTGTGTATGTGTATAAACAGATAGAAAATATACATTATATATATATATATGCATATATATATATATATATGCATGTACACACACATAGAGCGAAGGGTTAGAGATCACGAACATCAACCAACAAAATGCTCAGGCCCGACTATTGAAGCCGTAGCTTATTTTGTTAGAGGCATTGAGCTGGCTTCTTGAAATAGGGTCTCGGAGGTCATGTGCATATCGTTTACTGTGAGGGCCTTTTAGGTTATCATAGGATCCCTAGTGATTGGAGTAAGGTACTTGTTTGGGCATAGTCATTGTATACGAAAGTAACAGTACTATGAGGAGCTCTAAGGAAAGTATTTGGTAATTATCCAGGCTTCTACATTCCGGCTTCCCACAGGCTGTTTGTATACAGCTTTGTGTGTCTCGAAACTTTACAGCTTCTATCTTCGAAGCAGTGGGGCTTGATAATGTCTTGCAGTTTGTTGGAGCTCTTTCGCATAGCTTTGTCGCGAGCTGACGCCGGTTTGGGCAATTCCGGCAAGATCGAATCCGGTACGAATAGGTGAGGCTACTGACATGACAGGTGCATGCATCAGAGGTGACGCCGGTTTGGGATTGGGGCACTTGCTGTTCCAAAGAGATTGGTGAGAAGCCCTAAACCCTGAGCCCGTAAACCCTAAGCCCTAAGCCCTGCGCCCTACAACCTACCCGTAAGCACTATGATTATGGGAACTTTGGTAAGCTGAAGTATTCACTGCTCAGGTCTTGTACCTTCGGGATGTGAAATACCTGTGGTCTCCATTGTAGCTCCCTGCTTGGGTTTCTTCCTGTTAAACCAAAGCAAGGACCTACAATGGAGACTATAGTGCTTATAGGTAGATCACAGAGAACATCCAGCACCCTTCTCCCGACAATCCAGACACCAAGCTTAGAAGGCCCCGTCAAACTCTTGCAGCAGCCGTACTATAGGAGCCTGAAGAATTACCAGCACCATGTTGGGGGTTCCTTATTACAGTAATGGTATAGTATACCCCGAAGCGCTATTCTAATCGTTCAGGCCTCTACATTATACAAGCCCCAAACCCCTCCTGTTCAGAGGCAGCCCATCTGCACGGTGGATATTGCACGCCTCGCGCCAACCCACTGGCAGTTGATCGGCAAGTTGGTACGGGATTGCTACTGATGTCCGAAAAGCGTGTGGGTCTGCGGACTACTCCCGGGGCTGTAGGGATGTCAGAATAAGAGGAAATCCAGAGTTCGGTGCTCCCAGAATTTTTCGGGCTTATGTTCATGCTCTAAGCTGTGCTTTGCGCCATGTTGGTTCTACTAGACGTGAAAGGCAGCGTGCAGTGCCTTCCAGTTCCGGGGTTGTCGTTCTTGCTTGGGTTTGCTTTAGGCGACTTCGAGTAGCTTCCTGCGTGAGCACCATTTGCACAGCCTTCACCTGTTATTAAACCCCGACGTAAAAACCGCTATGTAAAACACTAACTCGAACGCCTCTTGGAAACCCTTGTGAAACATTGCCACAACTCTATCAAGCCCACGAAGAAGCCCTTCCAAAGATTTTTCAAGTCCCACAAAGCCGAACTCCCGGGATCCTCCAACACGCCTGGCCTGTAGCGAGCAGGGTTTGGGGTGGGGTGTAGGGCTTAGGGCGACCAGTTTGGGGTTTGGGTTTGTGTGGGGTTTGGGGCGTGGGGAACCTATTGAGAAACCTTCTTTGGCACTAGATTTCAAATTTCCCAGAAGCTGGATCCCTTTCGCGAGCTAGGGGCATCTTCATGAGGTTGCCCCGCTCCAAAAAAATCCAAGTCATCCTGGTTCAGTTCCTTTTTGCTTCAAAATCAGCCCCGAGGTCCCGATCCTAAAACCCTGATTTCTGAATTCTGGGTGCCCGAACCCCCGCCGCCCCGCACCCTCAGCCTTGAAGCCTTAAATCGTAAGGGTGCATGTAACATAGGGCCCTTAAAAAAGTAGAAGAGATTTTTTTTTTTTTTGGGGGGGGGGGGGAATCTTATACTATATTTATAACAAGAATAAGCAGCCCCCAAAACCCTATTCTGATGGCGCAGGCCCCCGCAGTAGCTCCGAACCAGTAGCTGAGTTTGGAAAGGCCCGAGGATGTGGGCGAATCGCCCTGGGAGGCCGCGGGTTTGCTTGCCATAAGTATACTGGAATAGATAGTTACTATGAGATACTTCAATATGTGCATTCTATAACATTCATCCACCATGTGCCCCCAAGCTGCAGAGGGTGTCTACATTTGGAGTCGAGGGTTTAGAGTCTCTGGGCTAAGCTGTGGGAGTGAGTCCAGGGATTAGAGCTTGGGGATCAGAACTTGGGGATGAGAAGTCTCATAGGCCGTAGACTTGAGGCTTTCAGGCTGTATAAATCCGAGCTTCGGGTTCCGATTTTAGAGACTTAACTTGAAACCCCGAACCCCTAGACATCATACAAGGTCTGCAAGCGATCCTCATCCCTGGGCTATGGCGTTTCGGGTTGAGGTTATCAGGGTTCCTGGCAGGATGGATGAAGGTAGCGTTGCTTAGAGTTAGGACTTAGGGTTTGGGATTTAAGGTTTAGGGTTTGGGGTTTAGGATTAGGGCTTAAGATCTAGAGGGTTAGGGGTTCAAGGATTTCCGCTGCTGTGTTTCCACTATGAGCCACCGCTGCCACGGGTATGGGGACACCACCACCACTACTACCATGTGACACCTACCAAGTTCACGACGGTGTTATTTGCAGACAGTAGCAGCAGCAATATTATGTTGCTGTTCCTGCTCCTCGACGACTACTGACTACTACCACTACGACCACGACTACGATGACGACGACTACGACAAACTTCTGCTACCCGTGCTGGTAAAAAAACAACAATCATTGACAAGGACTAACGATTACTGTTGCTGAACCACTTCCTCTCTGACCTGACTGCTCTTATGCTACTTCCTCTTCGAGGTGCCACATTACCATTTTTCAGCTTTTGGGGTCCAAGGTTTGTGGTGTGTATCCTTTGAGGCTATGTGTCATGATTCCCGCCTCGGTGTGCACTTACTGCTCCGGAGGTTCAGACTCGATGTTTAGTCTGGGGATGTTGGATGTTGAGGTTCCTTCTTGGTGAAGTGAAAATGATAACTTAGGGCTTATAGGGTGAGCTCTCTTTCAACAACTCAAAACCGCTCTTTTGAGGTCAATGTCAGAGGCGACCGGCACCGACCCTAAAAGACACCCTAAGCTAGAGAACTGCCCATCTAGAGCCCTTATAGTACTCTTGTAGAAACCCTATCGAAACTCTGATAGATTCCTTCAAGGGCCCGAAGGAGCCCAAAAGCGGACCCTAACTTAGAGAGCTGCCTCCCCACATAGGAGTCATAGGAGTTTGTGAAACCGGCCACAGACTCCTCCCCCAAAGTCTGCGTGTTGCAGGGGCTGGGCCAACTGAATGCCGTGGGTACGAAGATGCCCGGCGCTGTGTCGGGTCCGGGATGTCGGTGTGCGGCGTCTGGATCTGGGATTTTGGGGTTTGGGGATTAGGATTTGGCAGCTTTGCTGTTGGGATTCGCGTTTGGAACTCCAGCCCTCTACAAGCCCTAAACCCTAGACCCTGGAATAGTGATTTCTACTTCCCTGCAAAGCAGCCGGTGCCTGAGCCCGTAAGCTCTAGATTCTGACAGCCCTTAGAAGGGTTACTGGGTTACATCTCCGATGTAAGCATCTGGAGCCCCAGGGTAAAGTACCTTCAACTTTACTTATTGTATGTTCCAGCAAGTTGGACATGCTTCTTTTGGCGTGCGACAGCAGAATCTTGCCTGTACCCATAGGCCCCATAGTAGTTCCTTTTTGGGGTTCATATTTAGAATCCTATACCTATAAGGTAATCCCAAAAAAGGAACTACTATGGGGCCTGTGGGTAGTGAAGTCTTGCTTTATGAACAAGCCATGTCTTGGTCTGCAAGGTTGGAGAAGCAGAGTACTTCGAAAATGTCCAGGACTTGCATACCATCCACAGGCATATCCCCAAACCGTAAACCCTAGCGTTTGTCAGGGTTGCATGGGTTTTGAAGCACACCGGACGTGCCACAGATGTTTGGTTTACGCTAAAGTCTAGCTTTGGTTTTGTTGGGGCTTCTGTCAAGGTCTTGTGGTATGCCGTTTGCTGGACGCTGAGATGTGTCCTGAAAAGCCCTAACCAAGTATAGCAGTTTACGGTGGGCGATTCAATGCGCGAGTTCGAACGGGATGCGTGCTTGCTGCTGGGGGGCGTAGGGCGATTACGATCTCTCCAAATCCTTGGCCCCAACTTCAAGCCCCACTGAACCTTGAATCCCAAACCTTGTAGACCCCAACGAATTCCCGCACCCCCAAACCCTAAAGGTTAAAAGGAGGAAGCTACGACCCGAACCTCAAAAGCCCTTGAGCCCAAACATGGTTCAGCTCAATCTTCCCAAACTCTTCGTTGGGTTTGGGTTTAACATTTGGAGTTTGGTCTTGGGTGTGGGATTGGCGGTTCAGGGTTCAAAGTTCGAAGCCTTTCTTTCGGAAGTCCTGTAATCCTAAGTCCTAAGACGACCCTTGCGGCGAAGCGCAAGAAGCAGACACTGGAGCTCTTGCGATCCTCGTGCTCTACATAATGTGGGACGGTGGCCGTCTCGTCCGATTTGTGGGACGGACCCAATGGACTGCACCACCAAGCTCAGTCGCTGCATTTCCTGGCCAATGACTGGTGTCGTAGACAGATCTTAGTTCATGTCGATCGGCTTGGCGTTGCCAAACCGGCAGCGAACCAGGCGCAAAGAATCTGCCCAGTCTGGAGCCAGCAGAACTTTGAGCACGGTTGGTTCTGGCGCAGTGTTTCGGAATCCACTTCCGGGCCCATTAAACCCTATAAACCTTAAAGCCTAAGGCTAAACCATAAAGCCTAAACCTGACACTCTAAACAATGCACACCCTCATCCTCCAAGCGAGTCCTTCATCCACACCCCAAACCTGAAGCTTAAGTGTGGGTTTAGGGTTTAGGGTTTAGTTTGACACACGCTTTAAGGTTTAGGGTTTAGGGTTTGGTCTTCACCCTAGCCCTAAACTCTATGCTCCCATGTTCGTCGTACAGGCCTTATTTCAGCAATTCCGTGCATGCCATGTTTCTGTATAAGTGCCTAGCCTAGCTGTCTAAAGGTCTACCCTTGAGACTCTTCTCAGAACGTACAACAAGCTTTGTAAAGCCCTTAAACGGGTGTTCTGAGTAGTAAAGTAGGTAACCTTTGGGGGAGAGAAAACCCCTATACAATCCCAAGTGTTACCCCCAGGGTTACTGGACCACTAGTGTAACCCAATAAACCCTAAACCCTAAAATTGGCCCTAAACCCCTAAACCCCAAACCCCCGAACCCCTGTCTCAATAAACCCTATATAGTGTATGAAGCGGGCAAAACGACAACCCCATTGCTTCGGAAGCTGGGCACGGAGGACAAGCTCGACCCCCGTGTTGCCGCCAGCGAGGCAGGGGTTCTGTTGTCGTTTGTCGCCTTTCAGCTATAAGCTTTTATAGGCTACCTTGGGTATTCATAGAAGGTGCTACAAGCTACTTCGCGGAACCTGTTTCAATGAGAGTTTTTGGGTGTAGGGCTTCCTTCATGACATGTCAAAATTGCGGTCTCCAGCAGAATGGTTTCATTCATCGGGCTTTACGAAGTGTCATTGAGGTTTTTCCGGGGTTGTGTATGGCATTCCCTGTAGGAAGCTGATTCTTTTCAGAAGGAGTTTGGCGGTTTTGGCGTCTTCTTCCCGACTCGGGGTCGGTGGCACCCTCGTAATTCTCGGACGTCTGGAAGATGAGGCCGTAGGGCTGGGGTGGTTTAGAGTCTGGTGTTTTCGGTTCTGGGGATTCTAGGGGCTTCGAGTATGGATGTTCGGGCTTGCAATCGTTATTGTTGCTACGAAGCTTGACCCTTGGAGTATGGATGTTCGGGGTTCCAACTGTTATTGTTTATACGGAGCTTGACCCTCCATCTACTCTCCACTGTACCTGAAATAACTAGTACTAGGTGCCATAGGCACTTATTTGGTGCTGAGACAGGGCCCGGTAAGGTGCATCGGCTTTCATGCATGGGCTTTAGTTTCGGGGTTCAGAGTGCAGCCAAAGAGTCTGGCATCTAGGCTTCAATCCTAAACCATCAACCCTTAACCC